GCCAGGAGCCCATGGCATTTGCAGATGGATATCTCATAAACTCATGTATGATTCTACTAAGCTACAAATGGGCCCGAGCACCCCACTGAATAAATTCTCTGCCCACAGCTGTGGTCTCTTTGCTCTGCCTCATTTCCAGCATGGTTGTTTTTCCCTCATCTCCTTCCCTAACAGATTACTGCCGTCCAGTTGTTCACTGCTGTGACTGCAGATCCAGGACTTGACTGCCAGTCCATAAATTCTGTCTGATTAGTTAATGAAGAAATCACTCAAGCTATATGAATAAATGAGGAATGGATGAAGGAGTGAGCAAATGTGTGTATTTTAACAATGTAGAGGGTGCCTCTATGGGGTCAGAGTTTACATTCATTGGAGCAGTAAGTGTGCTCTTTCCCTATTGAAGACAAGTCTGTGGGAGGAGGAGTTCATTTGCTTTTGTGTCAGGGAAGGGGTCCAATCTGTGCCAAGCCAGGCCCAGCATGAGGGTGATGTCTAGGAGAGGAGGAGTGAGACTAAAACGATGTTTTCCTGAGATGTCAGAAGGGCAAAAATGGAAACTGTACTGCTTCAGGGACCAGCACAGGGTGAGGAATTCATCTCTGGCTCAGAGTTAGAAAGAATCAAGAGTGTCCTTTAATCTCCCACCAGTTTCACAGCTTTGCTTCAGCACAGGGGAAGAGAAACGAACGTCCTCAACCTGATAAAGGATGCCTACCCACAGTTAACACCACAAACTGGTGTATTCCCCCCAAGGCCAGGCTGGGGAAAAGGATGTCCAAATTCACAATTGTACTCAGCATTGAGCGGAGGTCGTAGCCAGAGTAATTTAGACAAGAAGAAGAAGTAAGAGGCAGCTAGCTTTGGGGAAAAAAGAAGTAAGCTGTTTGCACACATAGAGGATGTTATCTTGTATGCAGAACACACACACAAACACACACTGCACACACAGCACACCACGATACACATGTGCACACACACCATACACACACACAGCACACCACATATACACACAGCCCACCACGTATACACACATCACATCACATACGCACACCCCACACCACATATACACATGTGCACACACACCTCACACACGTACAGCACACACCACCTCCCCCGCCACACCGCACACCACACACACACAGCACACCACATATACACACAGCCCACCACGTATACACACATCACATCACATACGCACACCACACACCACATATACCATTGCACACACACCTCACACACGACAGCACACCACTCCCCCACACCACACACCACACACACACAGCACACCACATATACACACAGCCCGCCACGTATACACACATCACATCACATATGCACACAACACACCACATATACACACAGTACACCACATATACACACAGCACACCACATATACACATGTGCACACACACACAGCACACCACGTATACACACATCACATCACATATGCACACACCACACCACATATACACATGTGCACACACACCACACACACGTACAGCACACACCACCTCCCCCGCCACACCACACACCACACACACACAGCACACCACATATACACACAGCCCATCACATATACACACAGTACACCACATATACACACAGCACACCACATATACACACAACATACCACATATACACACAGCATACCACATATACACACAGCACACCACACATACACACATCACATCACATACGCACACACCACACCACATATACACATGTGCACACACACACACGCAACCACCTTTTAGTGCTGATGAGTAAGTTCGACAGGTTGTAGCATACATCAATACACAAAAATCAGTTATATTTTATACGCTAGTAATGCACAATCCAAAACGACATCGCAAAAACAATTTCACTAAAAAGAAGAACAGTTGGGGAAAAATGTAATAAAAGAAGTTACCTACAAAGCATCATTGGAAGAAATTGAAGATGATTAAAATAAGTGGGGAAGAAATCCCACGTTCATGTATTGAATAGCTCAGTTTTGTTAGGATTTAAACACCCCCACGTTGATTTGCAGAGTCAGTGTAATTCCTATAAAAAATACCAGTTGTTTTTTTCTTTCTTTTTTTTTTTTTTGGCAGAAAGCTTATCCTAAAGTGCATATGGGGATTCTGGGACTCCAAAGAACAGAAGAAATCTTGAAAAAGCAAAACAAAGTTTGAGGACAACTTCAAATGTGCTGACAGCTGAAGTGCTGGAGGCAGGGGGTCTGGCACCTGCCGAGGAAGGAGACACAGAGTGTCCATTCTAGGGAATGGAGCCCTGAGACAGGCCTTACAGCCTGGCCAGATGACCTTCAACAAGGACACAAGACACTTCAGGAGGAAGAGAAGCATCTTCAACAAGTGATGTCGAGACAGACGGATATCTACATGCAAAAGAGTTAATGCTGGATCTTCACTTCATCATGTGAACAGCATCAAACAAACAACATGAGCAAAAATGGGAGAAACTAATAAGCTGAAGCCCCAGCTACAAAGCCAGAACTAGAGTGCATTAGAAGAATACAGGACACCAAAAGCACAAGGAGAGAGAGAGAGAGAGAGAGGAGAGAGAGACAGAGACAGAGACAGAGAGGCAACACACAGAGAGAAGAAAAAATAGATTAACTGGGTTCCTTGAAAATTAAAAACCTGACAAACACAGGTGGCTCACTCCTGTAATCCCAGCTACTCAGGAGGCAGAGATCAGGAGGATCACGGTTCGAAACCAGCCAGGGCAAATAGTTCACAAGACCTATCTCAAAAAACCCATCACAAAAAAGGGCTGGTGGAGTGGCTCAAGGTGTAGGCCCTGAGTTCAAGCCCCAGTACCGCAAAAAACAAAACAAAATGAAAAAAAAACCCAACAACTTGTGCTTCAAGGAGTATTATCAAGAAACGAAAAGACAACCCACAGAATGGGAGAAACTGTCTTTAAATCAAGTATTGGATAATGAATTTTTATCTAGAATATGAAGAACTGATTATTCAAAATAAGACAAATAACCCTACTGAAAACCTAGCACAGGACTTGAATAGGCATTTCTTGAGGAAATGGGTAAAACGTGTGAAAAGACACAGGACATTGTTAGTCCTCAGGGAAATGCAAACCAAGACCCGAGTGAGGCCCTAGTCCTAACCCACCAGGGTGATAGTTTCAAAAAGAAAGGTGACACGTGTTGGTGATGCAAATGAAATCGTCGCAGCTACTTTAGAAAACGGTTTGGCTAGTCCTCGAATGTTAACTGCTGAGCTCCTCGTGACCCAGGAGAATTGAAAATCACTTGTGGTGTTAAAACTTACAGAACTGCGTTCATCGTAACATTGTTCCCCCAAAGTGGAAAGCACTGATGTCAGGAAATAACGAACAGACAGGACATGGTATATCCACACAGCGAACTGTCTATCACCTAAGCGGTAAAGGGGCTCAGCCGTGATATATGCTACCAGAAGCGAGCCTTGAAATTTTAGGCTAAGTGAAAGAAGCCAGGCAGAAAATGCACGCACTGAGCCTTGGGAGATTCCACAGCAGGAAGTCAGGACCAGAAAGTGCTCAGTGCTTGCCAAGGGAGAGTGTCTCTTAATGACTATGGAGTTTTTCTTTATTCAAATTTAATTCAATTTTAAGTTTTTAATTTTTGGGGGGCGGCCCTGGGGTTTTGAACTCAGGGCCTCATGCTTGCTGGGCAGGCGCTCTTACTGCTTGAGCCATTCCTCCAGCCCGCAATTTAAAAACTTACTTATTTTTTTATTGACAAATAAAAATGACATATTCATGGTATGCAACACGATGTTTTGATGTGTATACACACTGTGGAAGAGCCATCGCAAGTGACTAAACACACACTTGACATTCTGGTCATTTCTTTGTGTGTGATGAGACCAGCTAACCTCCGCTCTCTTAGGGATTGTCAAGAAAACTAGACGCTGTTATTGGTCACAGGTACTATGTCACAGGACAGGTCTAGAATTTTTCCTCCTTTCTAGCTGAAACTTTGTATCTTTGGCCAACTTCTCTCCCATCTCAGCCCCACCCTCAGCCTCTGATCACCACATTTCTCTCCCTTGAATGAGTTCAGTTTTTTAAGACTGCACCTGTGAGAACATACAGTATTTTTCTTTCTATCCCTGGCTCATTTCACTTTACAGACTGTCCTCCAGGTTGATCCAAGTTGTCACAAATGGCAAGGCTTCCTTTTTAAAAGTTGAGTAGTAATCCATTATCTATTTAGGTAATTTCCTTTGTCTACCACGCATCCATAGACATGTCACCCATCGGCTGACGTATCTTGGCTGTGAATGTGCCACCCTGAATGGGGGAGTACAGCCTTCTCAACGGCTGGGTTTTATCTCCTCTGAGGACACACTCCAGCAAAGGGCCATGGTAGCATCATTTGCACCCCAGAGTGGATGGGGTACTCCTTCCAGTACCACTGCAGAAAGCAGAAGCCTGGAGTTCCCCACTGAGGGCCTGGCCTGCAGGTTTCCTATCTGCAATTGCAGAGCCAGAGGAGCTCTGGCTTTGCCTCCCATAAGCACCTCCTGCCCAAGGTGGACAGGAGCATCACCTGCTCACAGCTGGCATGGCTCCTGCTGGCACGCTGTTCACGGCTTGTGAGTGACCACTGCTGTAAGGACGTTAGGGCCTGCAGAGTCAGGAGTCATGGTAGGTAATGACTAAGGCCCCTGGGACTCTGCTCTGTCACCCCTGGCAGAAATGGAAACAAGTCAGCCCGTTGAGAGGATAGAAGTGGTGTGTGTGGGAAATGCAAAGCAACAACAGGGTTTCTAGTAAACACAACAATGTGTTCATTACACATGCTAAAAACACTGAGAATTTTTCTCCTGGAGCACTGGCACAAACAGGAACCAGGAAGCGCCCATGTGTCCAGCCTCACACCTGACCCAGGCAGGGATATAAAGGGCCGGGCTCAGGGGGCTCCACACTGCACCCCTCCCTCTCTCTCCACCTGCTCCTCGGACCTCCTCCATCCTCCAAACAGAACCATGAGCTGCTGTGACTGTTCCGGAGGCTGTGGCTCCTGTGGGGGCTGTGGCTCCAGTGGCTGTGTGCCCGTGTGCTGCTGTGTGCCAGCCTGTGCCTGCCCCAGCTGTGGCTCCTGTGGGGGTTGTGGTTCCTGTGGAGGCTCCTGTGGGGGTTGTGGCTCCTGTGGGGGCTCCAAGGGAGGCTGTGGCTCCTGTGGGGGCTCCAAGGGGGGCTGTGGCTCCTGTGGGGGCTCCAAGGGGGGCTGTGGCTCCTGTGATTGCTCCCAATCCAGCTGCTGTGTCCCTGTGTGCTGCTGCAAGCCCTGCTGCTGTGTCCCCATGTGCTCCCAGTCCAGCTGCTGCAAGCCCTGCTGCTCCCAGTCCAGCTGCTGTGCTCCTGTGTGCTCCCAGTCCAGCTGTTGCAAGCCCTGCTGCTCCCAGTCCAGCTGCTGTGTCCCTGCATGTTGTCAGTCCAGTTGCTGCAAGCCCTGCTGCTCCCAGTCCAGCTGCTGTGTCCCCGAGTGCTACCAGCGCAAGATCTGAAGCTCTGACACTCTCTTAGTGGCCAGAGAGCCACCCACACTCCATCATAAAGCTGAGTCACAGCTCTGCCTGTTCATATGCAGCCATGTTCAGACCAGGAACAGTGCCCCTGGGGCTCTTGAGGAGGTGCTTCCCCCACCACGCATTATCTGACCTGGAATGAGCAGGAGCCTCTCCTGCATGGCGTCTGTCTTCCGGGACATCTAACTCCTGTCCTTCTGGGCATGGCCCTAGGAAAGCACCCATGTCATCTGTTTTGGGGGTCTTCTGAGAGTCTTGATCTGTGATTTCTTTAAATAAACTGCTCCTCTCACAAGTCATGTCAGTGCAATTCTTTTCTTTTTTTTTTGCACTCCCCACTGTGATTTTTTTTTTTGATGTTTCTTTTTTAGCTTGCCACCCGTCCTTTCTGGAGCATCACACTCCTGTGGGTTTCCTGAGTCATATCAGGGCACCCCATAGTCCACTGCCTCATGGGACACCCACTGCATGCACTGGGAGTCTTGGAGAACAGTGTGGCCTTGAAGTGTCTGAGCTGCTCAGGGAGACAGAGCTGTGATTGCGGTACAGGGGCCACTGAGCTGGATATCATGGGTGTCCAGAGCTAATGCAGGAAAATATATGAGAGTCTGAGACACAGCCATGGCAGGGAGTGAAGACAGCCATACGCTATAGGGATTCAGAAGGCGGAGTTGGAGACAAACCAGTGAAGGGTCGACAGAGGACATGAAAGCAAATGGTGAAGAAAGGGCAGTTCCCCATTTCCCTTCTGTGTCCTGATGGACAGACACAGTGCCTGACCACTCCACCGCCCAGCCAGCTATAGTCTTCCTCACAGACTTGAGCCCAAACCAGGCCTAGAAACCTTGCAGGCCCTGCTAAGGGAGCTTAGGTTGTTGTCGAGACACTGAAAGATCAAACACGTCACTGAATGCACAGAGCTCACCCCCGTTCCCTGGTTGGGGACCCACTGGGTAGACCATCCCTGTCTCTCACTGAGATCCCGTCAGGCAGAAGCCACAGAACTCCATCTCTGAGCCCCCCATAGTGGGTGCCTGTATCCAGCCGTTGCTTTGGAATCCCAGCCAGCCTGCCCATGGAGGCTCAGGGCCTTCCTTTGAGGGGACCCCCTGTGGCAGCTTTTGGTCCACTCCACCTGGGGCCCAGGCTCTGCGGCACTGAGCAGCAAGGGGATTTGAACACAACTCAGTTCCTTGGCTCTAGATGGAATTTCACATAAATACCCCAGGTAAATTAGCATTAGTTTAAGTTCTTTTCTGTTTATTAAAAGGGACTTTTATTTTGACATCTTAATTAAACAAGGAAATCCTGTTTGTTTAATTGACTGTTTCAGAAAAACACGTTTTTTTGGAAGTGACTGGACTGTCTTTTGAGGAGTCATTTTTCAGTTAGAGGAGTTAGGGTCTTGCCTGTCTGCTGTTCAGGCTGTGAACTGGAGCCTGACATGCCAGAGAGTGCACGTGAGTGTGTGTGTGTATGCATGCATGTGTGTATGAGTGTGTGTGTGCATGGGGAGTGAATGTGTGTGTGAATGTCTGGATGAGTTATGTACATGACTGAGTGTGTGTGAATGTATATGCATGAGTGAGTGTGTTCATGTTGCATGACTGAGTGTGTGCAGGAGTGAGTGTGTGCTGACTGAGTGTGTGCAGGAGTGAGTGAGTGTGTGCTGAGTGAGTGTGTGCTGAGTGAGTGAGTGTGTGCTGAGTGAGTGTGTGCAGAAGTGAGTGTGTGCTGAGTGAGTGAGTGCTGAGTGAGTGTGTGAAGGGGTAAGTGAGTGCGGAGGTGAGTGAGTGTGTGCAGGGGTGAGTGAGTGACTGAGTGTGTGCTGAGTGAGTGAGTGAGTGCAGGAGCGAGTGAGGTGTGCTGAGTGAGTGTACATATGAGTAAGTGTGTGTACATGAGTGAATGAACCTGCGTGTGCATGTGCAGAGAGAGGCTTGTAAACCGGCTCACGCAGGGAAGCACTGAATCAAGGCTGCTTCTGCACATGTCCCGCACACTTAGGCTCCCAGGTGCACTCTGCTCAGAGCTGCTGGCCACAAGTCTCTGCAGGTGTCCCCTTGAGGCCCTAGAGGAGGAGTCACTTAGAGAAGGGCAGGGCACACCCACCTCCTCGGCAGCAAGGCTTGGTGAGTGTCTAACACTGACTTCCCGGGGCTGTGGCATGTGCACTACACTGGAGCCAAACTCAGGAAAGGGTCTCTGACCTGTGACTTCAGTCCTGTGGATGTGGAGGCCTGGCCCTGTGCCAAGTCCTGGCTGCACAGGGTACACAGAAGCAAATGAGAAGAGCAGGGTGAGGATGGAGGAGCAAACTAAATGGTGCTGTTTGTCACCTGGATCTCTCTGCACCCTGGCAGAGACACCTGCGCTGAGCCCTAAGTGTGCGTGCAGGGTGAAAGGCCACGTGGGCTGTGGCACCCATGGTCCTTGTGTCAGTCCTACAGGGAGAGGAAGAGCAGGACACCCCTGGGGCCCCAAATTCCTGTCCTGGATTTTGGATGGATCAGCTGAGCCCTTAGGGGCACACAGGAACCCTTGGTAACTTTCTTTAGTTTACTGTGAACTGAAAACTGCCCTAAGAGGAAAGTCTATTCCTAAAAAGCTGATCCAGGCTGGTAAGTGGAGAGAGGAGGGGCTCCTTCACCCGTGAGTGGGCACTGGGTACCCATTAACACACTGAAGATGACAGTAGTGAGAGCCACCCCTCCAAACACACACCCTGAGCTCATGCCTGACTCACATAACCCAAGTGACTCTGTTAAACCATGCCACCTGCTCCATCCTGTTTTTGCAATTGATTTTTAATGTGAGAGCAGAATTTGAGTATCTAATCCTGTCAAACACTTTCCTACAACTCCATTAAAAATGAATTTTCATGTGCACTAGGGTGTAATGGTTTGATGGTTTAGCATGGTAGGATCAAGGCCACTCTTTCTGAAATCGTTTCACTCATGGTTGTCATGATGTTTTATGTAAGGAATAAAAACTGGTTGGGGAAAACGTTAGGGAGGGTGCCTGCACGGCACCTTGTTCCGTGGGCAGGGTGCAGGCCTGAAGATGAGGGTGGTGGAGTTTTATTGGCAAGTAAAAACACACAGCCCTGTGATTAGGCTCCTATAATACAGGCAGAGCATTGGCTGGGTGGAAAAAGCCAGGGAGGGGCCAGCTGAGGAGACGCAGGTAAGATGAAAGCTTAGAATCCCTGAGTCTCCCCAGCCAGCCTACCTGCCCTCGGCGAAGGGGCCCTCAGATGAGGCCTTTCAACACTTCCCCCAGGCAGCAGCCTCTCAAAGAAAAACCCACTGCATGCCCAGGCCCACAGGGAGCAGATCCCATACAGCATAAGCAGAGGGTGAGTGACGTGTGTCCTGCAAGGTGCCATTGTCCTGGGAGGGGAAAACATACACACAGGAAGGCACGGTTCTGTCCTTGCCATCACCAAGAGTCCGGGGAGTTGGAACAGGAAAGGGAGACCTATGGAGCAGGGTTACACACACAGAGGTTTGAGATGCTTAGCTGTCATGATGGCCCTCTAGCCTGGGGACTGAGGTGGGGACTGTGCCCTACCAGCGGACAGCAGGCTGAGCTGCTGGAACCGCTCTGCCAGCTCATTCTACAAAGGGACAGAGAGGGAGTGCATGGGCCTCAGGGCTCTTCACATCTCTGTCTTCAGTGTAGCACAAAACCAGCTCAAGAGAATCCTAAATGAGGAGGTACAGCCATGGTCCGACAGGACCTTACTTACAAAGCAGAGGAATTTGGGGCTGGAGGTGTGGTTCAAGTGGTAGAGTGCCTGCCCAGCAAGCATGAGGCCCTGAGTTCAAATCCCATACCAACAAACAAACAAGAGTAAATGGAACAAAACAAAAAAACAAGCACGTGACATTGAAACTGCACACACTAAATTAGTGCAGCCTTCGTGGGTCGGCGACGCCCGAGTCAAGCTAGTCACGTGAGGAAACAGAAAATGGGGAGGGGGCTGTATTTCTCCCAGCCACAATTTGTAGATCCCTGTGACAAAGGAAACACCCCCAATATTAGGGGGGGATGAGAATGCCGAAGTGGGTTCAGAGCAGTCAGTGCAGTCACCCCTGAATTCACTGCTTGGTGGGGTCGGAAAGATGTCCCTTAACTAAAGGATTATGAGGACTCCAAACCCCATTCCTGACCCTCTTGGGAGAAATGGAAAATTGGTAAATAGAGAAGAGCCCCTGTGAGTGTGGCTCAGAAGAAGTTAACCAGAATTCATCAAGAGGAACTCCAGTTAAAGATGGAAAGGAGTTGTGGAGCCAGAAAGAGACCATCAGGTGGTTCTCTTGAGGTGTTTTATGTTGCTAAAAACGCTGTACAACAGACCAGGCAAGTTATAAAGAGAGGGATTTAGTTTGGCTCACAGTTCAGGCCCAAGGGCAAGGGCTACAGCTGGAGATGGCCCTCTTGCTGGTAGCCTCCCAAGGTGGTACAGGGCATCACTGGCTCAACAGGAAGTGCAAGAGACACCTGGCCAAATTGGCTGGTAGCAGACCCACTCCCGAGATGACCTGTGACACATACACACATGAAGGTTCATCTGTTTATGGGCAGAGCCCTACCCACCTCCTAGAGACCCCACTTGGCCCTCTCCTAATACCTCAAAATGGGGATAGTCAGCATGAGCTTTTGAGAGGACAAGCCATCTTCAATCCTGTGACATATGGACCACAATGGTCTAACACTGTTTCCTTAGAGAAGAGGGGAGGGGTGTGGGGAGGAGCTGACAGCTGTCTGAGGCCTCCCGCTGTGTGACAGGTTTCAAGTGAGCTGTTTTAACTGCAAATGTGTACAGCTACCGTCTTCTCCCCTGGCTTAAAGATCGTTGCAGGGGCTCCCTTCATCCTGGGCTCTGACCTGGGGAAGGTGCATGGAAAGGAATTTCACCTTGGTTTCAGTGGGATTCAGAGTCTCTCCCGGCTAAAGTCGAGCCATTTCTTGTA